GCGTGGCACCGAGCAGAACCGAAGAATCTCAAATGAACATGTAGACCCCATGCCCACCGCGCTTGAGGCACCATTACCCGGGGCCCAATCATCCCGTGTTCCGACGCGTATCATGCCTCGCCTCTCTAAAACGAATACACCGATAATCTGTATTCCGTATCGTTAGGCTAGGTTACGTAAGGCCCGTGGCGGCCTTGCATTATAGCATCATAACCATTCATCCTGTCCGCTCACCTGCAATGCGCCACCACAATTTGTCCCGCCCGATTCTCTTTTCCTCGCCTGGGTCTCCAACATGACATCAATATTATTATATATCGAGGGGTAGGGCGGGTGCGCAAATAAACGTCTGCAGTGGAGTCAATCGATGGATCGATACGGGCTTATCAGGATTTACTTGGGCTCTCGTTCAATTCACCCCCGGCCGAGTATTTTGCAATGCTCTCTTCACTTGGAGCTGTTTGGCTCATTGAATGTTTGCCGGCTCAACTCGTCGATATTTCCTATTTGACTACTGTTGTTGGGAATTTTAGTAGCGAAGCGGTAGACCGGGTCAAGTCGATTTTGACGATTGGCCAGGTTTTGACGAATATCTCGGAATCTAAAAGAGATAGAAAGTTTTTTGTCATAACCTTTTTTGTAGAACCAATTGAGGGCTATAAAAAAGGTTATGAGAAAAATGTTGCTATCTCTCTTAGATTCCGAGATATTCATCACAAACTGACCAAAAGTCAAAATCGATTTAACCCGGTTTACCGCTGCGCTACTGATTTATTGCGCAGAAGAATTTTTTCGCACATTTTTATTATTGTTGTTATTATTTATTAGAATAACATTTTTTAATTATACGAAATGAATAAATCATTCTGTTTCGAAAGAAATTTTCAACAAATATTTTTATTCATTTCATCTCTCTATATTATAAAAGTTCAAATCAACTTTTGGTGATAAAAATTTGGTACCCGAAATTAAGACTTCGAAATTAAGAGTCACAAGGGTCATGAGGGTCAGAATGAGGGTGCAAATAAGGTCCACAAGAGTCAGATTAAGGATCACAAGGTCAGATTAAAGGTCATAGGGGTCATATGGCGGTTGGCGAGCGGAGCGAGCAGGGGGCATAGCCCCCTGGTAGAACAATAAAAAAGATAAAACAGAATTATCTTTATTCTCATTAATTTCAACACTATTATTGTTCCAAATTACCAAACTTTGGAATATTTGAATGGAAACGTTTCAACAATACGCACTAAATAATTCATAGATTCCGAATAAAGTTTATTTAATTGAATCTGGAAAATAAAATAAAAGAAAATGCTAGATTGCACCAAACGATGTCAAGAATGTCACTTCCTGTGTCAGTGTAACCCTTTCCCAAATCGACGCCACACGATCACACTCGATTAATTATTTGGGACGAGGGACCGATTGACGTCAGGTAAATTTACCCGTGCGACGTATTACCCACTTCAAGCCCCTGAATATGCATTTGTCGTGTGCGTATATGTAAGGTATGTGCCGGCTGAATACACCCACAGAATCCCAATAGCTCGACTATTTCCTCCTGTGCATTTTCACTCGTGCAACGAATATCCGGAATTTGATGATCGTTATGCCGTGAACAGCGAGTGAAATTGTCCGCACAAATTTATGAATCGATGACCCAAAATTTTTTAAATGAGTAAAGACAATTACCAGAGGTTTACAAGCGTTCTAGATAGCCAGGTCTTTTCGAATGAATTTTATGGTGATCCATCATTTAAAACGACAGAACTGATTTATCAAAAGATTTCAAGGACTGATAAGTCGAATGTTGTCCTCACGAATTTGTGAATTAATGACCTAAGAATGGTTTAGTGATTAAAAACTATTTTCTGAGGTTTACAAGCATTAAAAAGAGTCAGACATTTCGTGTTTCAATTAAATGACGCAATAAATCGAATGAATTTTATAATGATCCATCAGATAAATCGACGGAACTCATTTATCACAGCATTTCTCAATGAACGTCTCAAAATAGTCGCAAACAAATTTATCACGGCGTTTATTAATACCATGTACCGATTTTTAATCACAAATAGAATCCCTCGACTCGATGAATAATCCCAAGGATATCAGAAACAAGACTAATGTAAAAGCCCTAGTCGAATGTTTAATATTAATCCGTAATGTCTACATGATTTTTCATGCGAGTGATAAATTTTTTGGACAGAATAACCTCTCATTTTTGTAATGACGATTAAAAATCGAGTGTCGGTTGGTTATCCTAATGCAACACGTGCACTGAGTGCCAGCATAAAATCCCTAATCGAATATTTAATATCAATCCGTAATGTCTCTCCCTCAGACATCTGTGGATTAGATCCAGGAACCGCTGTTATTATTTCTATCAGTCGAATGCTCAACGCTTTTATGACAGGAATTTCTCTATCGCCACTATTACTGTTCGCATAAACACCTCGTTTGCACTTATTCCAAGCGTTAATCTCCCTGTACTCCTTTCATTATTGCAAAGAATTACGAATAATGACTGAAAAAATGATGAGTAATGTAACGTGACATTTTACACAGCTGAATTCAAAGTAATCGATAATTATTTGAAAAACCAACAGCCATGAAGAACGTGCTCGGGATAATTCCATGGTATCCCGGGAGTTTGTATTACTTCATATTATGGACTGACGCACACGTGGATGGGGCGTGGATAATTCATGGAATGAAATAATGAACGGGAGAAATGGCAACTGAATGAGGGCATTGCAATCATTCAAAAATTGATGAGTCAAATTTTGTCCTCACGAATTTATGAGTCAATGACTCAAAAATTTTTGAACGAGTAAAAACAATTCCCAGAGGTTTTTCAAGCATCGAAAAGAGTCAATCCTTTTTTGTTTGAATTAAATGACGAAATAGATCGAATGAATTTTATAGTGATCTATCAAATAAATCGACAACACTGATTTATCGCAGGATTTCTCAATAAACGTCGCAAGATAATCACAAACAAATTTATCACCCGGCGTTATTAATACTATGCATCGATTTTTTTAAATCGCAACTAGAATCCCGACAGCATGAGTAATCACAGGGATATGAGAAACAAAACCGATTCCGGGTTGAATAATTCCTCAGAGCCGAATACATTAGATTCCTCCGCCTAATGAATGACCACTCGCAACTGCTCTCAATGAAAAAATCATCGAGTTTATTAACTGAATGGTAACTATGACAATATACCAGCGAGTTGAATTTCCGATGATAAAATGGTACTGGCGATGGAGCGTGACCGAGCCAACGCACAAGGATTCCATGGAACGCTGTTTATGCTGCCCGGGGGACCGAAACTGTCGTAAATAATTTCACCTGCGCTATGCAGTAGAAATGAGACTGCTGAAAGACTCACAGTGGGTGTTGGCGTTAATGAAGGAGCGATATATCGTTTGGTAGAAGGAACAATCGATGAGAGAAGCCCAGTGTTGAAATTTTTTTCTTTAAAATTTTTATCACATTATAGTCTAATTGAAATTTCAAGAAATTTCGGGTTTGAGAATTGAAAATTTAGGGAGAAATCAATGGTTACTGCAAATTTGAGGTCAATTGTTTCATGAAAATTCATGGAAATCAGGAAAATTCTTCATATGAGAAAATTTATTTCGATTTTGAAAAAAACGATTTATGGAGTAAATTACAATTTTTTTTAATGATTAATTAATTAATCTTCCTATTCAATACTATTCTAGTTAATCCAGTCTATTGTGAACAGAAACTATCGGAGAAGAACGTAAATATCATTTTCATATTATTTTCTTCAAAAATAAAATGCACGAACCCAGAAATTTTCTTTTTTCATTCCAAAAACGCCAAATTATCTCTAAATTTGAAGTAATATTTCCATTTTTTTTATAATAAAAAAAAATGATTGAAAAAATTTGTATTGAAACCTGAATAATTCGTTTCAATCATTTCACGGTGAAAAAAAAATTATTCTAAAAATTGTCACGCGTCTACAAAAAATTTCCGTGAAATTCCTTCAGCCGTCAATTGAGACAGAAAGCCCACAAATTCTCATTTACGACAATTTACCAATTGCCAGACGGCACTGCGTGATATATCGAATTAACTCGACACGCCTGATGGTAACATATTCTCAAATGTATCGACATTGTGTTCTCCACGCATAATATATCGCGAGCCCCGTGACAATTACATAACATGTGCAAAGGGGAAAGCTCTTTAATACGACAGTTTATCATTCCTCGATATAAATATTCCCAGTTGCTCGGGAGATAGCGGTTAACATGTTTCAACTGCTGTTAGGTATCTAAATATAATTTTCACCCATTGATTTATCATGGCACGATCATTTCTCCTGATTCCCGCACTCGCGACAATGTCGTGTGAGGAATGAAAATAGATATGAATTTTGCGTTACGGTATTTTGCACGCGCGAAAGTATGTGGAGTATTTTCGTGGAAAGTTGATGCAGGTATTTCTACTCCGGTGTTACGGAATTTCGGAGGGACTATCTATAGAGTTACTTAATGAGAGAGGAGGAAAATAGCTTCGGGAAATTTTTCACATTTTTTTTTCGGGGAATGTCTTTTGACGTTTTCTATGAAACTAGTAATTGTGGAGATAATTATCCAATTAACAAGTAATGGAGATGAAGATGAATGAAGTGGAAATAATTTGGGCAAATTATTCTCCATATTTTTTTGAGAATACCAAGTTTGGAGAATTTAGTTTTATTTATTTCGTAATTAAAAATTAAAAACTTCATACCAAAACCGATGGAAAATGTAAGTTTCAATCGAAAACCGAAAATTCATGTTTTTTTTCTCCCCCAACTCAAGTTTAAGGTGTTTCGTGTGTAGGTCAGGGGGGGCTGTCCTGAAAATTTCTACCCAATCCTCCCCGAAAATTCATATTTTCATCCAACAATCAACTCAAATGTCTCAGCAAATTGCTATTCTAAATTTTTTTTGTCTCTCCTGTGATTTCAGGTTCGCGAACTGGTGGAGAGATGCACCTGCCCGACGCAATTCCCAATGATTCGTGTGTCCGAGGGTAAATACCGAATTGGCGACACCAAAGTCCTAATATTCGTGCGAATTTTAAGGAGCCACGTTATGGTGCGAGTGGGTGGTGGTTGGGACACACTCAGCCACTATCTCGACAAGCACGATCCATGTCGCTGTCGTACCTGTAAGTCAATTTTTTCTCCATCATAATTCCAATGTACCATTCGTCAAACATACACTTTCCATTCTCAATATTTCTCAAGAACAGTGTATCATGTTATTCACTTGACATTCAACGTTTTATTGCTGCCATTTTGTTTTTCGGTTTGATCGCCAGTCGTGTTGCATTCAACTGAATTTCACATTTATGATGTTACACGCCGTGGATTTGCATACAAAGATATCATCATCACGACTTTAATCTGCATCACTGTCGTTCAAGCCGCTGGATTTATTTTTATCCGTCTTTTCTTTTTTTATCAAATTTTTCCACAGCTCATCGCTCGATGATCTCTGCTAAGCTGATACAAAAGGCCGGAGGATCATTCGATCTCTGCAGTGCGCAGGTGCATTATGAAAGGTAGTTGATGATTTTTTTTGTTATTCCTTTAGTTTCACTAGTCATTACTCGTTACAAAGAAACAGACTGAGTTTTCTTTCATTCGGCATTCACCTCGATGATTAAGGACTTTCGAAGTAATCGATAATTATTGATTAAATATCGATTGAATATCGAATGCATGAAAAATTCGTAAACCAAAAAAGGTGAGTATCCCCTCGACTAAACAAAATCCAATTCTTTCTAACCAAGATCACCTCCGAGAACTCGCAGGAGTTCAGTGTCGAGTGTGGGCTCGTGCGCCGGTACAGTGACCCAGCAACAGGGCCAGCAGCCCCAGTCCCTTCAGACACCAAGAAGCATATCGAACAATCGATCTCGATCACCAACACCGCATCACGCTGCTCGCCAGCACCTCGGTGATGATCTCAAGAGATCGGGCAATCGCTCGAGGAGTCCCACTCCCCAGACTAAATTCATACCGAGTCCGGTTCGCCAAGCCAGTGACCTTGGTAACAAACAGAGATCGAGATCACCAACACCCAAGTCAAATTTGCAGACGGGAAGTTCCCCCACACCCAGACCGGAAATCAATAGATGTGGTCGAACGAGTCCTCTCGATCCTACCAGGAAAGCACTCAACGAAGAAATACGACAAGTCAAGTATGATGGAAGATCGCAGATGTATCACAGTCGACATCAGGATAATTATCAGGTCAATATATTTCGTTTGACGCAACTGCACTCTGATTGACTTTGAAAATTCGAGATTAACTTTTAAACCACTGGGTTTAGAGGGAAATCACTGAAGAGCTTTTTTATAGCGAATTTAATTATCTTCACGAAAGATTTTATGACTTTTTTCCGGTAACTTAGTGGTTTCGAAGATATTTTCCAAAAACCCTAATGGAAATTTCATCGACTGAGAGAAAAAAAATACACTGTTGAGAATGTTTATTCTATTTTAGTTTCACTATAATTGCAATGAATTTCGTGATTCAAAATAGAAAAATTCGGTGAAAAAATCAATGCAAACATTAAATTTCATTCTAATTACTCAGTGAAAATTAATGAAAATCAAAAGAAATCAGGTAAATAAATTCTTGATATTCTAATTGTTTGGAAATTCAAATGATTTGAGAATTTCTCATCTTCCTACTGCTTAAAAATTTGGAATTTTATTGAACTTTCAGTGAAATCTGCAATCTCAACTCGTACGTCTTGAGTGAAATGTCTCAACAATTTCTTTCCAAATAGAAGCTTTGCAATTTCCCACTTGATTCCTCAAGACAGTGTCCTTTAAGCCCATTAATTACCACGAAGAAATAAAAATTGACTACAACAAAAAAAAACTGTTCCAGGATCCTAAAAAAGATCTCCACCAGGAGATTCGTTCAAAAGTCCCCCTATCCGAGGACTTTTCAAAGCGCTACACAGTTGAAGGTGGAGTGGCAAAACGCACAGCCGAGAGAGACGATACACCAAAGTACGAGCCCTCAATCTACAACTACAAGTGCGGAAGAGTGGAATCCTCGAGTCGCAGTCCCACCCCGAGTCCACCAGCCATCAAAGAGGAGGCCGTCGAGACATTTGGCAAATCTGGCCACGACGGTGAACACTCTGACAACGGGAGTGAAGTGTCTGACGAGGGTTACAGGAGTTTGGGTACTGTGCAACCACCAGTGCCAATGATCAACGGTACTAACATCACGAGTAACCAGATATCGCCCACGGTTGTCGACTGTCAAAGTGAGTTATTTGGCATGCGACGTGAGCCTCTTATTCAATTATTTTTTTATTACACGATTACACTGAATAATCTCTTCTCTTCACACATGACTTGATTTTTGATACCAGCGTTTATGTTAATTGGATACAGTTGTCAAGTGACAATCATCCCAACTTTTCAATTTCCAGTTCAAAGAGTTAATTTATTTGGTTAACGATGGAATTATCTCGTTAATGAGCTGTGGTAGAGAAAAATATCGTAAGAAATTTTTTGTGGATTATTTTCTTAGCTACAAAAAAGGTTTAGAGACATTTTTCTCTAGAATCATCCATTCAGGAGATAATTGCATATTTATAAAAGCTCGATTTTCTTTTCTCATAGTAAATTCAATTTTCAATGTTTTTATATTGATATTATCATCCAAGCTATTAAAAATCATACTCTGCGATTTGCATTTTTCGACAAAATTCTATATCTCATGTTACCTTGGTTTTTAACATCAGCGTTTATGTTCAAAGACTTGTTTTGTTTTGTTAACGGTGGAATTATATCTTTAATGATCTGTGGTAGAGAAAAACATCGTAAGAAATTTTTTGTAGATTATTTTCTCAGCTACAAAAAAGGTCTAAAGCCATTTTTCTCTAGAATCATGCATTCAGGAGATAATGGCCTATTTAGAAAGGCTTGCAATTTTTTTCTCGTACTAAATTAAATTTTCAATATTTCTCATTTATGCAATTATCTCCAGAGCGAGTGATTCTGAACAAAAATATGACCCCCCTTTATTGTACCTTGGGCATTGTCAACTGGACCACCTCAACATCCAGATAATTGACAAAACTATCAAAAATCATAATTAGCAATTTTAATTAATTCGAAAGAATTCCTCTCTTATCAATCGATCTCATCATTATCATACGTATACGTATATTATTGAACGCGAAACGACGGTGAATTGACCTCGATTTCTCATCGACATGTACCCTCGAACCCATCCCATCACCAACAATCGAGTGAAATCGGCCAGACAAACCCAATAAAATGCACAATCCATTCTCAAGAAAGTGCGAAGTTGATTGAAAAAGTGAGAATACGAGAGATGGATGTGGTAGCATCCGCGAGATATTGCAGGTGGGCATCTGTGTGCATAGCAGCACGTATCTCTCATTTCATACACCAGTCATCGAACTTAATAAACCATTTATCGTGATATTTTATCGCACTGGGATAAGGATAATAATGGAGTGAGGCCATGTCGTTTATTAACTCACAAATCACAAACTACGGGGAATACACGTGTACTTGAGTGAGTGGATAATACAGTAAACTGAGTAATTACCGAATAACTCAAACTTTCAACTAATTTCCACCGTGAAATGTGTATAAACCTGTTTACCATCTTTATTATATCGAAAACAGGAGAACTAATTTCATTTTACGATTCACTTCTCGTGAGGACAGATTCAGAAGAAAATTCCTAGGGTAACTCTAGGGGAAATGGACATTTTAGGTGACATGAAGATATTTGTTAATCATTCTGTAAATTTCCCCGAAAAGACAGAAACATAGAAAAAAAATAGTACTTAATTCCCCATGAGTCTGAATCGTGCGCACGTCGTCCCGTTGTCCTCGAGTCCATCTCTACCTTTCATTATTCTCCATTTCACTTTAATGCTCTCACCCGTAGCTCCCACATCGTCGTGACGATGCCACCGTGGGACCAATGTCGGTTATACCCCACACACTAGGGGTACCCCCGGTCCCTCACGAGTTCGGACCACCCCGTAGATAGTAGAGCATTAATATTCAAAGTACACGAAAGGTATACGCTTGTGATATAAACCTAAGCCTATATGCATTATATACGTATATGAATTTTGCATTAAAATCCGAAGAAGAAGGCTGGAACTGACATTTAGCGTACGTGTGCTGAGGGAGATAATATTGCTTGAGCTGTTGGTTGCCGAGAATTCGAGGTGAAAAAAAATTTTCAATGATGAGAAGGAGAGATCTCGTAACATTCGTGGGCGAATGATACCAACCTGCTGAAGTTAACGATTGGATTAGTGTTGGGGAGAGAGAAATTTCTCAAAAATTACCCCTGAATGTGCAACATGTGGGATGTTAGGAATTTTTAACAAAATTCTAGTGAAAATTGCAATATTTTTACTGAAAATATTGCAATTTCATTTCATCTATTGTAATTTTATTCAATATTTTACGTGAAATGTAAAATATTCTTCTTTCATTTCTACTGAAGATATAGTTGTTTCATTATTCTTGTTGCGTTTCGTTCTAGAATTCTCGTGACAATTTATTTTTTAGGGGTATTTTTTAACAGGTTTTCATCTCTAAACTAGGGGGCTACTCCCCCTGCTCGCTCCGCTCGTCAACCCCCATATGACCCGCATGATCTTTATTCTGACCCTTAATCGGACCCTCGTGACCCTCATTATACCCCGCGTTAATATTAGATGGATAGTATTAATTCCTAAATCCATCTAATAATATTAGATCCAGAAAATAGGGCACGGATGTCTGGTTGCATCAGACAATAGCGACTGAGTCCTTGTGGTTTGATAATTAAATACGTTCAAGGTCCAACCGCGATCAAATCCTTTTACACGTCATGTCAATGAGTTCTCACCCTTCGATGAATTCCAACAATGGTGAACAGTCCCGACGGAATTAGAATCAAGTCGAATGATTTAGCTTCAAATCTACTCACAAACGAGTTCATTAAAAGCAAAATATCAAGACACATTTTTCGTAGCTGATGAAATTTCGTTTGGAAAATGCTTCCTTGAGACACGGAGAAAATTATTTGGTGAATTTCACCAAATAGTTGTTGAAATTCTACGACTAATTGGTAATTAATTTTTTCAACAACTAGTTGGTGACATTTAACAACTAATTAATGAAAATTCAGAAAAGATTTTTCAATTTCAATCAATTTTGACTACCAAACTAGATGGTAAGGGTATATGTACATTTGGAAACAATCCCGTAATCATTTATGTCTTGACAATCGATCAATGTTTCCCCTAGAAGATATTTCCGCAATAATTAACAATTTCATGTTAAATTTGATCCATCAAATAAATCGACGAATGGTTACTGAAAATTTAACAAATGATTGTCGAATGAAATCGAAAAATCTTTGTCTGAATTTTGATTAAATAGTTGTTAAATTTTCTCATAATTCATAATTCATTTTTTGAACAACTAGTTGATGAAATTCACCAAATAATTTTCTCCGTGGATAATTGCGCCATTAAAAAGTCTGTAATAAATACTTGTGACAATGAAAGCAATTGCAAAACTTCCAAACGCTCTCTCATTTCATGCCTCCAATAATATAATGCACCAAAAATTTCCACCCACAATAATCCAGGACTATTAAACCCGCTTGAAATTGGAGACATCTCCCCAGATAACAACCCAGACTGGTACTCAAACCTTATCCCAGGTGCAAAAAAGGACCGAGTGTTCCACAGGTGAACCCACAAACATCACGAGATATTGTAATATCAAAGCAAGAAAATAGCGAGAAACACGCGACATTATCGTGTGACACAAGTCTGTCCATTTGCCCGGGGGCCCACGCGTTTTGGGTAACAACCGAGCTGGACAAACGTCCACAGGTATGCAAGAGACGAATTTGGTGGGTTTGTAATGGCCCATCCGCCGAAAAAACCGCACACGACTGCGGCAATTGGGGGGAGGAGACTCGCGTGGGTCGTGTGTGGCACTCACCAGACAAACTTCCATCTTTAATACCACAGTATTTTATGTTTTGTATGGAGCATCGACAAAAACAAGTCTTTGGCAGATTCAAAAAGATAGTACAGAAGAATTGTTCGATTATTCTGCGGCAAATTGAGCGCAAATAAAGGTCATTTCAATATCGAAAAGACGGTTGTAGAAATGTATTTTTCAAGGTTTTACAGGTGAAGGTAATCGAAGTTAGATCCTTACGAGGCTGATCCTTATGAGTTGGTACCCAAATTGAGCCTCAATTTCAGATAAAGTTCAAGTTGAATTCTGAAAGTCTGAAGTTGAGACCTTCGAAAGGTTTGAAACTTGGCTCAAAGTATGAAGTTGAAAACTTCAAAGGTTCTCAAGTTGAGACTCTTAGACTTCAATTTAATATCCATTTTAAGAAAACAAAAAAGTTCCATTTCAAAACCTTAGTTCATACCCGTAATTAAGACCCAAATTGAGCCGAAACTTGAAAAAAAATTCAAGTCGAATTCTAAAAGTCAAAAGTTGAGCCCTTCAAAAGATCTGAAACTTGGCTGAAAATATGAAGTTGAAACGTTCTCAAGTGGAGACTTACCCCAACTAAGGCCCATCTCAGGCCTCACCCTACGATAAAATTCAAGTTGAATTCTAAAAAACCTTCTTTAGTTGAGACCTTGAAAAGTTCTCAAGGCAATACCTTCCAGCTTCAAAGCAACTTACCCTTTAAACTTGAATTAAGTTTCCAAAAAAGTCTTACCCCAATACCCTAAACTCTCACCCAACGAAATTAACCCCGCCTTTTCTTCCAGAACAACCGTCAAACCCCAGACATGAATCCGAGCGTTCGTGCGTCGAGACAGACAGCATCGAGACAGGTCTCCGTAAGACAAAAGCCCCGGCAAGTCCCCGTAACTCCCCAGCCCGCAGTATCCCAGGTGATCGCACCCCTCGTGCCCAATCAATGGTCCGTTCAAACAGCAATCTCTCAAGATGTTCCTCCGGCAGTAGAACCCCCCGAGAAGGCAACTCAAGCCCCGAAGGAAGTCCCCTGAAACGCAATGCCGTTCGCAATAGCCTTCGAAAGCCCCCAGCAGGTACAGTAAGCAAAGCTGTATCGCCACCAAATCACTCACCAAGTGGCAGTAGCACCTGGAACGGTAGGCAATCGAAACAACGGCCCGGATTGTCATCAGATACCTTTGTTAATCCCTCAGTAACCATTAATGGTAATGGCAATCGTGGCTCACCGTCATTGAATTTCTCCAGGAAGCATACAACACGACAGAGTCTACCAAAGACAGCCATTAATGGTGTACAGTACGACAGAAATGGTAGGAGAATAAAGCCGACAACCAGTGTTTCACTGCAGTCATCACCTACCAAAGTTGCTAATCCCTTGTTAGAGCAGATACTTCAGAAAGTGGGACATCTGCAGGATGACAAGCAGGTGGTCCAGAAGTTACAAGATCTACTGAGAAATTATCAAGATTGTACCGATGGCGAACCGAATCTAGAATTCACGAGAGCGTGGATCGATGGAAATGGAACTGTCGCACTTCCGCAAGAGGTTCAGGTGTCCACCAGTCCACGAAAGGATCCCAAAGCTGCTAATGAAAGGGGATTCTCCAGAATACCTGCGCCTATATACAAGAGAGCAATGTCCGTCAACTCCGACAGCATTTGAGATTTGGTAAATGATGACTGCGATTCCGGGGAAGGGAATCCTATAGATTGCGGACGTAGGGGGTCCAGGATACCCATCAAGAAGGGTACGAGGCCCATGTCCATTGCCAGTAGTGATGCGACTTGATGAATCAACGAGTTGAAAATAAGGAGAAGAAGAAGAGGAAGAAGTAATGCATGGATTACTATGCCAGAATTCTGTGTTGAACAGAAAGAGAACCATAAACATGACGGGAAATCCTTTTTTATCACTTACTACGGCCAGTTTGAGGAAGTTACTCATAGGTGACGTTACGGGAGGTGCCGGAGGGCCAGCAAAGGAAGCCTGGTGGCCTTGTGCTTTTTTATTTTCATTTCTTCTTACTTAATCGTAGTTTTCTTTCAACTTGGTGCAGCGAGAAAATACCTCGGTGATACACAGCAGGCTGATCAGCCTGTAGGATGGTGCTTAATGGAGAGAGTAGAGCAGTTGATTGATCGATCTATTGCTTTTCATCTGAATGAGGAATAGTAAGAGCTTTTTACTAGACTAAATTCTAATCAGTGATGAGGATTGATGTAGGATTAACCATTGAGTGTCTTGCGTTGTTGGCTTTTTTTCGGATAGTTGCTTCCAGGAGGTTCAATCGCAAAGTAATTGCAGATTGCGTTCGGAGAAGTTATTCATTTGAATCGGATGCATTGAAAAAAATCAAAGTCGATTTTGAGAATGTTTTAGTGACAGAATATATTCATATATTTTTTTTACGAATTGAAAATACGTTTTATCGGATGGAATTCTCCTGATTCCAATGGATAGTTCTTCTGAACTTGATTGAATGGAAGTTTTTTTCATAGAAAATAGCAATACATCACGATTCTTCACATCGCATTGGTTGTATTCCGCATATGAACGAATTTAATGATCAAAAGTAAAGATAGATAAAACATTGAATTGACAATTCATATGCTAAAATAGGGTACTATTGTTTTCATCGATCCTACCGATCGTTTTTTTTTACAAATGTATTTATTTATATAGTCTATCGGTTGTATTTATTAAAGACGATTTAATTACGCGTTGATGCAGGGGATGAATAAATAATATTGGTAATGTCGTATAAAAAGAACAGAGAGGGACTTAGAGTATTAGGAGAAGGATGCAATAAATTGCAAATTAATATCAGGTAAATCCTTCAGACTGCATTAGATATCCTAACGTCTGACAACTGTCATTCCAGTGTTTAAACATTTTTTATACCAAAATCAAGTAGAAGCCTTTTTTATGTAAGGAAAAAAAACGAAAGAATAAAAATAAGTGTCTTACGTGCACTGAGAGTTCGATTCACTTGAGCTTAGACTAACGAATAGATGCAGCGTATACAAGTGAGAGAAAAAATTTATAGTGAAAGTCGTACAAAAGTGATTTTTGACGAAATATTAAATTCAAATGCCCAAACTATTTTTAGTAGTACATGTGTATAGTTGATAAATAACATTTTCTAGAATAAGCGAAATTGAATTCTAAACGATATTCAATGGAGAGAACCGTTGAATATTGCAGATGTCCGATCAAATTGAATTTAAAATCAACCAGAAGTTTTCAGTTGGCGAATTTCTGCTGAATTATTGAATTACATACACGACTCAAAATATATGGATGACTTTGGGAATACATGACATTATAAGTCACCCGTGACAGGCGAGTAGCTGCCCATGTACGCGATTGTAACGGCTAAGCTTAGTAACCCCTCCTATTATATTTCGTGACAAAAAAGTAATAAAAACTTTTGATTTTCGCAAGTAAGTTATGTCGTCACTACCCGTTCTTTCCCTTTTTTTTATAATCTCAACTACCAGACATCGTCGTGATTGATGATTTATCATTAAGTCATAACATTAAGTTTATAAGTATTCAATGTTACGAATGATTGAATTGACCTCTGTCATTACTATTATTTTTATCGAAACTATTATCAATAAACCGTTGTATTAATTATTTTGAATATGACGAAGAAGATTTAACGAGTTATGAAGTAAACTTCGAGAAAGTGAAATTGGTGAATAAAAAATTGAAAAAAATGGAATGAATTCTCTCGATTACTTCCTTCCCCTGTATATTTTAATATGTAGATTGAAATTATTTGGAGAAGCTGCGCCATGACATCTAGGTAAGGAATGTGAATATTTCATGACAAAAAGTAATAAAAACTATTGTATTATTAAAACTATTATATATAAACCGTTGTATTAATTATTTTGAATATGACGAAGAAGATTTGACGAGTTATAAAGTAAACTTCGAGAAAGTGAAATGGATGAATAAAAAACGGAAAAAAATGGAATGAATTCTCTCGATTGCTTTCTTCCCCCCTGTGTAGTTTAATCTGCAGATTGAAATCATCTGGAGAAGCTGCGGCATGACAACTAGGTAAGAAAGGCATTAGGTGAGAACTGTGTCAAACTCGAGGCGACACGTTTGCGACACGTATTCTCGATACGAATAGAACTGGGAGGGAGAAAACTGGGCCCATTATAAGTCCCCAATACTGCAGGAACGGGCGTCCTTGCCGGATATGGTGAGACCGGCTATTCTCGTGCCCCTCCGGTATCTCAGTACAACTGAGAGTCGTGGCTTCCAGCAATGAACGGAACGACGATCCACGGATTGTGTTCACTGGTGTGCGAATCTCGAGACTCAGAAGGGGAGGGACTTTTTTAGAACTTAATACTCTCGTGGTCAACAAAGCAATTCACTAATAATAATGTCAAATGTCTGTCTCGCATCGCTGAGTGGGAGGGACAATCAGACGAGAATGAAGACGCCAGGAAGGTTGATGGGATTGTTAAGGAGATAAACATCAATAACTGCGATGGCAATGATGCGGAGAAATAACTGTTTTTTTTAGGGGAATGGTATTTTACACAACAAGTGAGGTAAGTCGGACTTTACACGCGAGTGCGGCGAAGCGCGACTATAATTTTTTTCAGAGAATTTCATTCTACGAAACCAGTGTTTCTCGACAATTTTCATTGAGACATAAATCAAGAAAAACTGACTTCATCTAAAATCGCCTGTCAGTGCGAAATATTTTCAAATTGTCAAGGCATTTTTTCCACTCCAGACTCCGTCTGTCCCCTTTCTTAAAAAAAATTCTCTCGATAGAAATAACGAATCCCACAACTCTAAATCAAAATAAATGGTACCTTCAAAATTTTTTTCAAAACAATCTATCTAAAACAAAAAATTCCCTAACTGTAAAAAAAGAAATGTTGACATTGAATAATTAATGAAAAAACAAATTGAAAAATCACCAATTTAAATATTGACATCCGCCACGTAGGTGTCCGGAAACACCTCAAACTGTCACCAAAATTCGTAGAATAAATAAGTCATTGACAAATTTCCGGACAATATTGATTTAGAAAGCGCATAATGAGAGGAATGGAGGATCCATTAAATATCCAGCATGAGGAATCCCTTCCGCGCTCCACCAGATCGAAATGGCGATTGTCTCTGACGCCCAGAACTCGGGAATATCATTATAATACCTAACGATTTTACGAGCTAATGTAAGCGAGATATATAACCAGAGACACGGGTCTATGCTGTAGCTATCTGAGAGTGTCCGCGAGACTGTTTCCTCGTGGGCGGCACACAGGTGCCTCCGGGCACTTCGACGTCTCAAGCCAGATACGCGTTGAGAAGGTATATCCTACCCACGCATTACGGCATACGCACTTGTGTCAGTAAATGCACGAATATATATATTCGTTACTGAATGCCGGATGGTACTGATCATATTAATGCATTTTCCATGTTGTAGTTGTGTGAATAAACTCTAGATATTTGTTTTCATACTAGACGGTCATTTGTATTTATTCATCACTGATATTGTTGAGTGGCCATTGGACAATTGTCAATTTGTATTGTGGAAATTATGATGTTAATGGACATGCGTAGGTGAGAGCCCAGAATTTATGGAAATTAATCAAAACATATTTGTTGATTCCGCATTCAACGAGTTATGAAACATTGACTGCACTGTCAAAAATTTTCATCTGAATCTTGTGCCAAATCCTGGAAATTTTTATCGTGTTTAATTTCTACTGAAATTTCAGGAAATAATGTTGATGAAAAATAAATAATCTCATTGATTTTCTGTTCGAATTATCTGAAAGTCAATAAAATACTTGAATTTTCAGCTAAATTATTTCCTGAAAGTCCAGAGAAATCAGGAAAATTCAAAGAAAGATTAAAAATTCATGTCATTTTGTTTCTAAATATTCATGTTCCATTGAAAACTCAATGGAGCTGTGAAATTTCCATCTCACTCCCACTGGAAACTCATGAATTTCTTTGAATTCTATCAAAAACTGAAAATTTCATAACCATTTTCCCCTAAATCCGATGAATGTCACTCTCATGAGAATTACGATCATATTTTCCATGAAATTTCAAAAAATTTCCAACAGTGTATTGAATTTTTTGATTGATTGCCGCTACTGCCTCTACATTTTATTCCCCACCAAGATTCCCAAGTAAACCAGAAGTATTTACAAATGATCAAGATTACCAGAACAAGCCCAAAAGAATTTGCCACGCACCCAAGATCGAAGTAACACTTATTTATTTGTATAAATCGTTGGTTTTCACACTCATAAATATTCGTCACTGTTTCCGGATGCTCCTGATCATATTAATGCATTTTCCATGTCGTACTTGTGTGAATAAACTCTAGTTATTTGTTCTCATACTAGACGATCATTTGTATTTATTCTCCACTGATATTGTTGAGTGGTCATTGGACAATTGTCAATTTATATTGTGGAAATTATGATGTTAAAGGAGATGCGTGGGTGAGAGCCCAGAATTTATGAAAATCATTCAAAACACATTTGTTGATTGACGGCTACCTCCACATTTTATTCCCCACCAAGATTGCCGTGATGTTTGCCAACCGAAAGTGGATTCCGAAGTACCCCAGAAGTGTTTGTAAATGGTCAAGACCACCCGAACAAGCTAGAAAGAGTTCTCTCCTCATTGACGTGCATATTCACATACCCGCTGTCCCTCTTCCAATGAAACTTTCGCAACTAGATTTTTATTCTCTCTCATTACAATGACACGAGAAACGTGAAAACAACATGGCAAATTGCAATGGGGTCAAGGTGCGTCCTTGAGAATTATTCCTGTCCAACAGCGCGAATCACCCGGGACAATTGTTCTTTGTCATCATGTTGGTATGAATCTATATTAAATTGGTACGACAATGGGTCTCATCTGCGGCTCGCCGAGATACACCAGTGTCATCCTTTTCCACTAATGAGGGGTTAATGACAGCTCTTGTGTACCCACGGACTTGGGATTGTGGTGATGATGCGTTGTAGACGAATGCCGACACTACCGAGAAGTGACTACTGACCGAGGGGGATGAGGTGCCCAGAAAGAATTGTTCCAACCCTGGATTGCACGTTGTGAAGAAGGTGAGAATGAGAATGCGAACGAATTCTTGAGGAGTTAAATTACGGGGCGGGGGATTGACAAAGATGAATAAAATCTAGGGTTCGTGTACTCGGGGATTTAACGAGGGACCAGAGAGAGCATTATTTGGTGAATTTCAAGAACTAGGCGGTGAAATTTAAGGATATCCAAGTATTTTTTGCAGCTTCGTAAAGACTATAGGTTCAGACACTGTAGATTCAACAATTTTTAATAATCAATTTTGTCAATTAAATTTCGTGAGAAAAATTTGAGAAGAACATGAATATTCAGCGGTATTAAAATTACATTTTGCACAGGATTATCATTTTTTTTTAAACAGGCATTGTTAATAGATAAATAATTGAAATGGTTAATTAATTAAAATCAATTACTTAATTAAAATTAATTAATTCATTAATTAAGTTTAATTTGTTAAATTTCACCAACTACGTGTTGCAATTCGCCAAATAATTTTCTCCGTTAGTGATGAGGCTCTCTCAAATCTGTAGAAATACTATTTAATTGAATTGATAAAATTCATCAGTCTACGTAAAATTATCCCCACATTGACAAACACTTCGCTACTGTAGTGTTTTGAAATGCAATTGGTCCAGAGGCATTTCCTAGATTTCATAATTCTGCGAGAATAATCTAAAGAATGCTTTAATGGCCCCCACAGTACAGTCACAATGCCCCGACCTTCCGTACACGAATGTCCGGGAAAATAGTGCCTTCGTGACGCAATTTCAGTTGACATTCGCATTGTTCCGAAGCGTACAAAAGCCATTCTTGAAGGATGCTGCGATGTGAATGAGAACAACGATATTCCCAGGGAATCTTTAAAGCGACACAACTCGAGTTTTTCTGAAATTTATGAGTGCGAGGTAATTCGACAAATCGCTGAGATCCTGGCAATATATCATTCTGCCTGGATTTATGCACCAGGAAATTCTCCTTTTCTCCAACTGATACAAGACAAATGGCAAGATGTTCACTGATACCACGAGACATGTATGGAATGCAAACAATTGTCAATTGTCAAACAATTCAGTAGCAAAGTGGTAAAACGGTACAAGTCAATTTTTTTTTTTAGGTACAAGTCAATTTTGACTATTGACCAGTTTTCAATGAATGCTTCGGAATCTGAGGGAGATAGCAAAATTTTTGTTATAATCTTTTTTGTAGAGCCTATTGAGAGCTATAATNTATATCATTCTGCCTGGATTTATGCACCAGGAAATTCTCCTTTTCTCCAACTGATACAAGACAAATGGCAAGATGTTCACTGATACCACGAGACATGTATGGAATGCAAACAATTGTCAATTGTCAAACAATTCAGTAGCAAAGTGGTAAAACGGTACAAGTCAATTTTTTTTTTTAGGTACAAGTCAATTTTGACTATTGACCAGTTTTCAATGAATGCTTCGGAATCTGAGGGAGATAGCAAAATTTTTGTTATAATCTTTTTTGTAGAGCCGATTGAGAGCTATAATAAATATAATTACGAAAATTTTGCTATCTCCCTTAGATTCGGAAATATTCCTCAAAAACTCAACTACTAAATTGATCTCCACGAATGCTCAATTTCTAATGTTACAG